ACGTATCTTTATATCCGCCCTCTTAAAATTCCTTAATTAAAATTTAAATTCCTTAAATTTAGCTTTTATGCAAAGATGTAGTATATTGTAATAGATATTAATTATAACAATTATTAATTACACAAAAATGAAGAGAATTTTTTTATTAACGTAATATAATTTGGTTAATCGCGACTGTATTAATTCATCATAGATGTTTAACTGTAGTTCGTGTTTTTATCTTTTTTACGGCTCTTTATAAAAAATGACTAATAATTCAGCCAATTCCTTCCTATATATATATAAAAAAAGATATATTTAATTTCAAGAAACTTATCCAAACAATCAAACTATATCTAGTGACATGTCAACGAGCTCAATCACCCAATTCCTTCCTATAAATACTTTCCTCAAACAAAGATAATAAAACCATAAAATAAAATAATGAATACTAAAGTGGTTTCAAGTGCTGAACCAATTCTCCATCTTAGCTCAAAACGGGTCCCATCTCCAAAAAACCCGGTTCACGAAACCATCTCCTTCAATTCCCACGTAGCCATCTCGAGATTTTCCATAAGAAACCCGATTACCGGTCCGCGCAGCAGGGCCCGGTCAACGACCTGCATTAGTGCCGTGTACGCTCCCGCGGAAACAAGCAGGGAGACACTGTACGAACTGCTGGGAATTGGAGAGAGCGGGAGCACGCTTTCCGACATCAAGAAAGCGTACAAAAACATGGCTAGAAAGTACCATCCCGACGTTTCGCCACCGGACCGAGTTGACGAGTACACTCGGAGGTTTATTATGATGCACCAGGCTTACGAAACGCTGTCCGATCCGCAGAGCAGGGCTTTATACGATCGAGATTTGGCTGCGGGATTCGGATCTTTCTCTTCTCGTAGAAAAACTCACCAGGTAATAATTTCTATTTTTAATTTTATTTATTTATTATCATTATATATTATATCTTTTTTAAATACTATGTACTAATTTTTTTTTTTTTTTTTTATTATTTCTCTTAATAATTAGAAAATGGAGGAAATGGGGAGTGGAAACGAAATGGCAGTCTCAATTGGATGAGCTGAAACGACGAGAAATGAATAGGGATTCCGATGGAGGAATGTCGTGGGGTGCTCGAATGCGCAGTCGAAGATGAAATTAATTTTCGTGTTTTTTATTTTCTTCATAAATATCAAAAAATATAAAAAAAGTTTAGGATTTTTGTTCCAATGTATAGATGTGGTAAATATCTTGTTTTGTCGGGTTATTGATATCTAGAAGTTATGAAGCATGCAAATTAAATGGCCTTGTTGATGTTGTCTTTTATTACACATGTGATTCGTTGGATCAAACGAATTCGGATATTATGCAATTATTAATGTTAGAATTGTACCAGAAAATTTAATGTTTAGATAACACGAGTGAAAATCTGTGTAAATAGCTTGACTGATTTTGGGATGATAAGTTGGTATACGAGATAAGAGCGTACGATATTTGTATCGAGAAAAAATAGGATATGAAAGGTCTATCATCCAAAATGAAAAGAAATATCTATTAGGGCCCATTTGCAAGTTGTTGCCTCTTTATGAAATGGTTATGGTGGCGACAAAGTTTGAGATAAAAGATTTTAAATTTTAGAATATCTAAGAAATAAGTTATATAGTTAATATCTATCTAGTACAGATACGGGAACACGGACACAGTGAAACGGAGAAAGAGGTACGGAGAAACCCATTTTTTCGAAAATTGGATACGTGAGCGTGGAAAAACGTGTAAATATTAAAAATATAGAGATATATTTGTAATTTCTAAAAACAATACTATTATCATCAGTTATATATTTGTATCTAAAAATTATATATAATTTACAAGTTCCAATCTGTATTATTATTCCACAAATTACAACAAAGGCGTACAAATTTTAATTTAGTGTAGAATTAGCTTATAAAAAAATGTTAAAACACCAATAGAATTGAAAAATAGGCACAAGATTCAAAGGCAGTTTAGAGTTTTATTTAAAACGGGTTTTGGGATTTTTTGGGACGGAAACGCGCTTCCAATCAAATATTTTTCATTATTATATGCAACGTCGTCAAAATTTTTGAACATTAATGGAAACGGTCCCAAAAGTTTACATCAGGTGTCATGAAATTTCGATTTTTAAAATATTTTCAAAACTTGAAGACACAATTGATATGGAAAAATAACCTCAAATGGGCTTAAATTTATTGAGATTGGTCAATTTTAATCTAAGTCGACTTGAGCTTACATTATTAACCTTTAATCCTCGTTGTCTATATGATGACCAACATGGGCTTGAACCAGCATGACCCATAAAAAGGTTTTTCGTGTATAATTAATTAATTATGGGTAACAAAATATAATTATATATAAATCGTGAGATTTGTAAAGATGACCACGCATTTATATCCGGATTATACGATGAACTTTAGAAGCTTCTAAAATAAGATGAATTATAGTACTTTGTAAAGTAGTTGACAAGTTGGCAATGGCAACACAATTTATGCTTTAGAAGCTTCTAAAATTAAATAAAATAACGAATGGATGATTTATGACGTCACGCCATACGTAATAAAGATCCACCGCACGCAAATAAATACCCATTAACACACTCATAAAATTTAAACAAATTATAAAATAAATAAAAAAAATGAGCTGCAAATTCGCTCCATCAAACGCCAGATCATCCTTCAATCTCTGACAAAATCCAATGAATCAACCAAAACCCATTTCCCAGAATCAATTTCATTCACCTCGCTCCCAATTCACGGAATCGAGAATTTCCATCAGAAACTCTCCGATCGGGCCGCCGCGTAGAGCCCGGCCCGAAGTTAAGGCTGCGCTCCACGGGCCGCCGGCAGAATGCGAGGAGGAGGAGTACTCGCTGTACGAAGTGCTGGGAATTGGAGAGAGTGGGAGCACGCTTTCAGACATAAAGAAAGCGTACAAAGAGATGGCGAGAAAGTACCACCCGGACGTTTCGCCACCGGACCGAGTTGACGAGTTCACTCGGAGGTTTATTATGGTGAAACAGGCTTACGATATTCTTTCGAATCCAGAGAGGAGAGCTTCTTATGACAGAGATTTCTCTCAGGGTTTTAAGGGCTATGCTTTTTCAGCTAGAAAATCATATAAATATGACCAGGTAATTTTTTTCAATTTTTTTTTTTAGTGTTTGTGAGTTTTAATTAAAAAAAAAAATTCATTTTTTCATTTTTATTTTTGTGAAAACAGAAAATGGAGGAAAAAAGAGAGTGGAAAATAAGGTGGCAATCTCAACTGGATGAACTAAAGAAGAAGAAGAGCAAGAATTCGTCAAAGGATAGAATGAGTTGGGGTGCTCGAACATGATTTTCATGTATTTTGTTTTTTGGTAAATTACGATGTTGTCCTAATGTAAAGTCTATTTACGAGCAATACTCTTATTTTTTTTAAAATTACATTCGGTTCTACAATTTATAGATTTCTCACATTAATACCATTTTGTAGAGGGTGGATGTAAGAATTTTACATACTGCATGGGCATGTATGTAATTTTTCTAAAAGAAGGATATTTTTTGTAATTATACTCTCATGGAAGTGGTTGTAATTTCTTTTTTTTTTCCTTCGTATTTTTTGTTGGGCTAATTATAGCTATTTTAGTTAGTTTTAAGTAATTTGTGCATAGATCTCAATGTATATAGAGTCCATAAGTTTTACCAACTAATATATTTTTTTGGAAAAATACAGTTTTCATCCTTTAAATTTGAACTAGTTTCATATTTGATCATTTATGTTCATAAAAAACACATTTCATCCTTTATGTTTTAATAATTCTACATTTTTATTGTTTTACATCAATTTTTCTTTATTACTACCATACTCAAGTGTGTGCCTGGTCTGCCTTAACTGACTAACTGTAGCCGGCAAAAATGACAAAAATATTAAATTATCGAAACATGAGGGACCGAATGTATTTTTTCTGAACATAGGGGACCAAATGGAAAATTGATACAAACTTTAGGGGGGAAAAATGTAATTTTCCCATATCTTTTTAATATAAAATTCATATAGAATTCAAACTCAAGTATTATTGTTTGCTTATGTTAATTTTATTTTTATTTTATGTGACAATCATTTTTTTTTTCTTTTTTTTTTTTTTAAATTTGAAAAATCATACTTAAGAACAATTAACATAAGTTTTGGTGACTTTTCGGAGTTGCAAAGAGAATTATGATTTGTGGTGGGGACTAGAATGTTTAATGAATACGACTTTTGACAAGTCCTTTTAATTTTTAATTTTTATTTTTTTAATAAATTTAATACCATGTCGACAAGGACTATGTTTATGAATGCTGAGTCAGCAGATACAATCCAACTCTAGCTAGCTATCCCCATTCCCCACACACCTCTTGTATATATTGATTGCATAATAATTAGTATATTATATAGTTGAGTTTTATTTTTTGTTCATTAGCAATACACCTCTCCTATAGATAAAAACTAGTGATATGTCCATACCATAATTCTTCTTTTGTGAAAACCCCTAGAATATTTAATTCACATCTTACCCCTCTAGTAGCATCTCACGTTTATTTTTTATTATTTATATATTATTTTCAAAATTCCTATTAATGAGTCACCTAATCCCGCTATTTATACTTAATTATTTATTTTTTCTAATAAACTACTCTTAATTAAACATTTAAAAAGAGAAAAAAAAAAAAATTAAACCGCAGCATCGTTGAGAAGGAGACGCTCATATTGGGATTTTTCCCCAAAATAAAAAACTGGCAAAAAATCGAAATACTCGTTACGAATCTGCAGTCACATTCCAAAATCGAAGATAGTTGCTAATCGTCCACCCACTTTCTCCATTGACAGTCGTGTTCTATTTCAGTGGTGTTTCGGTAGTCATAATCCCGTGAATTTGAGTTGCGATAGTCACATTCGAATCTGCTTTCTGAAATGAAGAAGAAAGCGTCACAGAAGCGTAAACGAAGACCCAATCCTCAGGACATTATGCATCTTGACGCCGGTTAGTCTGTATACCTAAATCCTTTGTTTTTGCGAATCAATTTTTGTACCATATATTGTCAAAAATATAGTTTTTTGTGCCCGTAGATCTAATTTAATTTCAGTTTAGGGGTTTCTGGGATGATTTATGGTTGCATAGATAGAGCTTTTGAGACAACATTCACGTTACCATCATGACTATATGTGACTACATACACATTGAATTTATGGTTGTTCCGATTTTATTGAAAAGTACTGTTCTGTATGTATGCCCAAATTGCAATTTAACCAATGTTAATGATGTTCTGACTTATTAACTTTTGCAGTAGAAATATGCTATGATTTGAGTATGTTATAAAAATCTGAAACTAAATAAGTGTATTGTTATAGTCGTTTTATGTAGTCATGTTGATATAATGTCTGGTATATGTCTGCATGTTGATATAATTAGTTGTATATGTCTGCATGTGTGATCGTAGATCCAGATTAGATCCATTTTGTTGTTTCAGATGGAATTTACTTTTATACACACAGAGTTTTTGGGGCAGGAGTCATGTTTGGTATCCATTCCAGTTTAACTTGTTTTGTATGAGTTGATGTATTAGTTCCCAGCAATAGATGTTGTGGTCTATTCAATCGGCATGTTATTGTCAATCGTAGGCTGCACAAACGGCACAACAGGGTGCGAATAAGTCTTCCGGTAGGACTCAGCGCGTAAATATTTGTCAACGTATTTATAGCCCTCGTTAGAATTATTGAACAACACACAAGCAGCATGAGCACAAGGCAATCCAATGATCTGCCACATCCTACACGAACACACCATTTCTTTTATATCAACAACTGCAATTGGGTCGCATAGAACCTCAAACATATGATTCGACTTCCTCGCTACCCATACTCTACCTTTTTGGACTTTGGAGTTAAGCTCAGTTGTCATCGTCGTCCCTTCCTCAGCCCTAATGCTAATATTTATCATGACTTCACCCCTGATATAATCGATAAAATTTGTGATAGGCAAATCACGAGCACCCTTGATCTTCGAGTTCCACAACTCAGCAGCATTTGAGGTCATTTAATTATGCCGATCTCCGACAAAATACGAACATGTCTAGTTAACAAAGGGTAAGTCAGCAATGAAATTATCTACCCTTGCGCCTCCGTATTCTTTCAACTCATTCAATTTCTGACGGAACTCAATCTTTGTCGATGCATATGCACAAGCATTGAATTTAGCAACAATACCCTCTCGAAAATTAGTCGGGCAACCTCTACACTTGTGCAGTAGGTTGTTCTGCAGGTGGACAAGGCAAAATATGTGTCCACAATCAGGGAATATTTCCTTCACACCGCGCAAAATTCCATGGTTACGATCCGATAAGAATGTCAACACGCGATCTGTCCA